TAGCTTTTTGAGGAAGCGCCATTCCATTTTCTGTAGTGGTTGTTCAATTTTACAGTTCCACCAGCAGTGTGGAATTTATTGAAGATCAGCTGTCCGTAGCTGGATAGATTTACTTTTGGGTTCTCAATTCTGTTCCATTGGTCTATGTGTCTGTAATTGTACTGTACCAGGCTGTTTTGACTTCCATGCTGATATAGTAATTTTTTGAGATCAGAGAGTGTGAGGCCTCTTACTTTGTTCTTCCTCTTCAATAATGCTTTTGCTATTTGTGGCCTCTTTTTTTTTCCATATGAAGTTGGAGATTAGTTTTTCCATTTCATTAAAGAGTGTTGTTGGTCTACTATTTTTTTTTAAAAGTTCATATACTTACTCTCTGACAACATATCCTTAACAAGGTGGGATCTCAATTGCATTCTAAAATAGAAGTGAAATAGGAGTATTCCTTTTTTAAACATTTCAAACTTTAATGTGACCTTTCCCATTAAGGCACAGAATTGGAGCCAATGCTATAGGCTAGAAGAATGGCAAGCTATAGTAAATTCATTAGCTCTTTCTTATTGAGAGAAAAAGGGGGTGGAAAATAGGTGTTAATCCCAATAATAAGTCCTATTTCACATTTTTATATATTATTCATACTGGAATTTTTCTAATTTGATAAAAGTAAACTAAATTTAGATCATATTTTTGGTTGTGTTTAAAAAATATTGTCCTAGTTATTAATGTTCTTGTAAGTGAGATCATGAATTAATTCTTTTCTTAGTCATAATTTTCTTTTCCACTTTAATTTTTAAACAATATATGGAGAGTTAAATTAGCATTGTCAATTTTGCTTTCAAATTAATATTTATAATATTTTGACAGTGTAGCATATGTATTTCTGAAGACCATGCCTTTAAAGTTATTCATATTTTTATAACTGCTTGAAACAAAACTCTATCATTATCTACACAAGCCTACATTTTTTTAAAACTCAGTTCCCTTTTCCCTAATTGCATAGTTAATTTTCTTTTACTGCTTAGAAATTGTGTTTTTGCCGTTGTCTAGAGTTTACTTTTGAATATGCTTTGGACATTAGGAGGGCTCAGTCCCTGGAGAAGGACATTATGTTTGGTAAAGTGGAGGGTCAGTGAAAAAGAGGAAGACGATCAATGAAATGGATTGACACAGTGGCTGCAACAGTGGGCTCAACACAGTAATGATCATGAGGATGGTGCAGGACTGGGCAGCGTTTCGTTCTGCTGTTCATAGGGTCGCTATGAGTCGGAACTAACTCGACGGCATCTGACAACAATGGAGTTTACCTTTAGGTATAAGAATGTAGTCTGTTTTACCGAGCTAATTGTATTATGCAGTTTGTGCTAAGACAGGAGGTTAGACAATACCAATTAAGGTAGTGAAGTTTGGGGAAAACATAAAAAGCTTTCAGCAAAGTTTAGGATAGTCTCCTGAGCCCTGGCTTGTCCATGGTGCTGGCCTTAAAGGAATATGTAGTGGCAACAGTTCACAGGAACATCTGTGCACAGGCGAGATTTTTGTGACCTCTCTAAGGAGTGCTGCAATGCTAAGAATAACAGAGGTGCTGCTGCCATTTAACGAAATTTCCACTGGTGTCATTAGAAAACTATTTATAGAGCAGTTCTTTGTGTAAGTCATTTGTAACAACAATGCTTATCGGATGTTCAATTCCATTAATGCACCTAATTCCTAAAGGAGATCTAAATCCCAGCCTTCCTTCCGCATTTGTTTAAACATTGGTAGAAACTGTTGTAATATGCTTTGAGCAACACTAAAGATGAGAATTTTTGTTATTTTTGCTGCTTAGAAAATAACTTATAAGCAGTACTGTTTTTGAATGTTTAGAGCACACCCAGCTTATATGTGAGGCAGCCAGAAGAGGATTGAGGTTTTGCCAGAATTCGATCATGGTGCAGAATTAAGTTATTTATAAACAGGTACAGCTTGGCAATGTTGAGGTGTATGTCCTTCTGAGGGGGCGGGAGTGTAGTTGTGCTGCTGTGTGTGATTGCTTTGTGTGTGTGCTTTGGAAAAAGGAAATTTATGATGAATATTAGGAAAACATTAATTCACTGGGGAAATCTGTGTAGTGGTGCAATTGATTGTTTAGGGTTGCCTTAGAGCTTTTATTATTCTTTTAAAACCTGCTTGAGCTCTTGTTTAAATTGGTACCTGTTTTGTGTTGGTAGCTAAAATTTTATATTTTTAAAGAAGTTTTTAAGCATCTTTCAGCTTCCAAGAATTTTCACCAGCAGAAATAGTACTGTCTACTGTTGTCCTTTCCTCTCATTATGTGAAGTGAGTTAGATACCTACATCTCTCTCTCCCTCCCTCCCTACCCAGTTTCTTCTTATCCCTTCATTCATTTAAAGAAATTCTTCTGGCGAATATAATAGCTTTAAATAATACTCTTATGCCTCTATTTCTTGACCTAACATTTCTAAGTAATGTCTATATTATCCACACTATAAAAAATAAGGAAATTAATGTATTTCCTTCATTTCAACTTCTTCTGTCCCACTCTGCATTCTAACTATTGCTTTACATTGTTATGATGTGTGATATTTGTGTTCTATTCTGAAATATAATTAAACCTTCTCTTCTAGGTTGATGACAACTTGAAAAATCAATGATCAGAACATATAATATTATTATATATAAATGTTTTTCTCTGAAAAATAATTATAGAACAAAATGCAGCTCTATGATATTGAAACTTTTCCAACTTAAAGGAAACATTCCAACTATTAATCTCTAATGGATCTTCTTTCCTTTGTTACTAGCTTTTTCTCTTCTTCAGATTCATACTCAATTGCCATGGTTTCTTATATTCATGGCATCCGTTTCTTGAATTCCTTTCTCATTTTTTTGAGTAATTTTTTCATACAGGGTTCAGGGAAGTGTTTCTGAGTCTTTACATGTTCTGGAATGTCTTTATTTTGGAATTCCGCTTTACTTTTAGTTTACATGGGTATACACTTCTAATTTTAAAATATTTTGTCCCTCAGAACTTTAAAGATATTCCGTTGTCTTCTAGCATCCAATATTGATGATGAAAAGCCAGGTATCATTCTGATTTCCGAAAAAGAAATCTTCTTTTCCCTATGGTAGTTGTTGTGATTTTCTCTTTGTGGTTGGCATTTAAATTTTTACGAGAATATGGCAAAATATGCTTATTTGATCCTGCTTGACACAAAGTGGGCCCTTTCAGTCTGAAGATTTGTATGTTCCTTCAGCCCAAGGAATTTTTTTTTTTTCCTAATTCTTCATCATTTCTCTCCCTTCATTGCCTCTGCTATTTCCTTCTGGAATGTCTATCTGTTGGATAATCTCTGTGCTTTATTTTCTATTTTGATCTTTGTGCTTAATGTTCTAGAAGATTCCTTGACTTCTTTTTCCAGATTGCCAATTTGGTCTTTGTTCCTGTTTTTTCCTTATTCAACTAATTTTTAAAATGTTTATTTTTGCAATCATTTTGTAATTCCCAAGAATTCTTTTTCTGATTTTCTCATTTTTTTGGATGCAGTATCTACTCCAGTATCTCTGAGGACAATAGTTAGAATCATTTATATATTTTTTAGTCTTCTCTGAATCTTCTCTGTTTTTGCTGGGGTTAGTTATTTTTAATGCTCTGGTTTTCCCCATGATCCTTGGTGGTGTGTTCATAATTATGAAGATCTGTGTAATGACTGGGATGGGTGGCTGGCATGGGTTTCCTATGCATTTTTGAGGGTCTATTTCTCCACTAGAATTCTACAACTAACAGGTCAAATGCTGAGTTCCGAGTAAGGGACTGAACGAACGATATGCAGGCTTTCCTTTAAGGGGTGTGTGTGTGTGTGTGTGTGTGTGTGTGTGTGTGTATGTGAGAAGCAGAGATAGGCTGGCAATACCAGCAAATGTTAAAATAAGAAGGGCTTTGCTCAGAGGTTGGAGCCTTTAATATATTTTCTCCCTTTGCTGGAGCTGCCTTTCCTTTTTCCTCCCATGCTACCCCTTATTTGATGAGGAATTTTGGAATTAATTCAAGCTTTGCTCCGTTTCTGTGCCAGGACCTAACACCTTCGTTTGGCATTCTCTCCAGGCAGATATTCTACTCTCTTGAGAGAACATTTCTTTAACTTTATCCTCTGGGGAAAAACTGCTGCTGCCAACTACTCTGTTTATGCTAGTCAGAGGGAGGAAGGCCTTCACTTCCCAGCTATCCAGATGCTATTCTTTAGTGAACTGCGCAGATGATTCCTCTAACCCCACTGCCACTCTTGGTATTGGAAGACTGTGAGCTTGGGAAGACCTGTTCTAACGCAAATGTCTTCAGGGCAGTTTCTTCTGTTCCTTCTGATAGACTAATTCCATCTTCATTCTGTCTGGAAAAAATGCCTCAACGTTTCTACTTTGCTTATGGCAGGCATTCTCATTTTTTAGTCTGTTAAAATATACATGTCAGTAGATCTAGGAAAAGGGATATGTTCTGTGTGCCATTGTCCAAGGTTGGTTTTTTTTTTTAAAACTTCAAGTTTTTAACTTCTACTCTCAGATATTTACCACATACAATTTCACACATGTGCACATGCACACACAAACATACATGGGCACACATATGCACACACACTCAATTAATGAATGGAGAGGCAGGATTTTATCATGTGTTTTCTGTCTGCTTTCTTATTTCCTTTGGCAACTGGGAAGGTGCTAATGTTCATGGTTGTTATACAGTGTGTTTCTGTATGAAGTGTGTTTCAAGCATTAATCATCAAGAAATCAAGTAAGTTCTTGAATGTTTAATGAACCTATTTTACTAATTGGTATTGAGAATTGAAATATGTTCAGGCTTAAAGCTTTTGAAGTTATACAAACAATGAAATGGCAGAGTTTAAAGATTTGGTGTTTTTCCTTTTTTAATTGTTCTTTGTTTTTACAATTGCTTTGATAATGTGTAAGAAGTCAGAGTAAGAGGAGACTATTTTAAATCTTTCTTTTTTCAGCAAAGAATCGTGGAATTGCCATTCCAGTAGATTTGGACAGCCAAGTCAATACCGTCTTCATGAAGAGCCATTCGAACATGGTACAAAGAGCAGCCATGGGTTGGAGATTGTCTGCTCGCTCTGGACCACGCTTTAAGGAAGCTCTTGGAGGGCCTGCATGGGATTATAGAAATATAATAGAAAAGTTACAGGTATAATGAGAGCATGAAATAGCATTAATATTTTCTAAATTATAATTTTTAAAATGTGTAATCACACAAACAATGGTTAAAAATATATAAAATTCTAGTTGGGGTCCAAGCTTTACAACTCCTACCACCTCTGCCTGAATTTAAATGCATAGGCTTCCAGGTGCAAATTTTTATTGATTTTTAAAAAATTATTTTATATTGTTTAATGTGTTTTGATGGTATGGTATCAAAACCCAAAAACCAAACCCGTTACTGTCAAGGTGATTCCAACTCATAGCAACCCTACAAGACAGAGTAGAATTGCTCCATAGGGTTTCCAAGGAGCAGCTGGTGGATTCGAATTGCTGACCTTTTGATTAGCAGCCTGAGCTCTTAACCACTGTGCCACCAGGGCTCTGATGGTATGGTAGTGTGCCTTAATATCAAAATAATAATTATAATATCAATTATACAATTTGGTAAAATTCTTTTCCACAAAGATTCACATAATAAATTAAACATTCATGTCCTTGCTTCAACTTACCTCTCAGTAGTCTCTTATGCGCTCTCTCTCCTTTGACCAGAATGG